TCTACTGCTGTCCATGAACCCTGAGTAAAGATCTACTGCTGTCCATGAACCCTGAGTAAAGATCTACTGCTGTCCATGAACCCTGAGTAAAGATCTACTGCTGTCCATGAACCCTGAGTAAAGATCTACTGCTGTCCATGAACCCTGAGTAAAGATCTACTGCTGTCCATGAACCCTGAGTAAAGATCTACTGCTGTCCATGAACCCTGAGTAAAGATCTACTGCTGTCCATGAACCCTGAGTAAAGATCTACTGCTGTCCATGAACCCTGAGTAAAGATCTACTGCTGTCCATGAACCCTGAGTAAAGATCTACTGCTGTCCATGAACCCTGAGTAAAGATCTACTGCTGTCCATGAACCCTGAGTAAAGATCTACTGCTGTCCATGAACCCTGAGTAAAGATCTACTGCTGTCCATGAACCCTGAGTAAAGATCTACTTGTTTCTATGAACCCTAAGTAAAGATCTACTTGATTCCATTAACCCAGAGTAAAGATCTACTGGTTTCCATGAACCCTAAGTAAAGATCTACTGGTTTCTATGAACCCTGAGTAAAGATCTACTGGTTTCTATGAACCCTAAGTAAAGATCTACTGGTTTCTATGAACCCTAAGTAAAGATGTACTGGTTTCCATGAACCCTGAGTGAAGATATACTGGTTCCCATGAACCCTAAGTAAAGATCTACTGGTTTCTATGAACCCTGAGTAAAGATCTACTTGATTCTATGAACCCTAAGTAAAGATCTACTGGTTTCTATGAACCCTGAGTAAAGTTTTACTGGTTTGTTGAAACCTGGAGAAGTCTAACAGCTTCATCAATCTGAAAGCTAGGAGCCCTGTACTCCATAGTATCAACCCTACCGTACACTGGGCCCTGCACACCAGTGTACGGTTCATATTTCAACGTACAATATTCTCCATATCTTGATTCTACAGTAGGGGCAAGAGCAGGAGCACAGCAAGGAGCCTCTGAGCTACCCCCGTAAATGCTTCCCTCTACACCCCTGTAGGGTCCCCCAGGGGTCCCTAGTGTGTCCCCTGAACTGTCCAGGGCGGAATCGAACCCTCTGCTCCCTCCTCCCACTGAGTTTCCAATTATCGCGTCTGGAATCTGTAAAAAATGCACTGGTTAACTATTTAACACAAGCCGAACCTTAAAATATACAAAAAAAATAAATCCTTGAATCTCTGAATTGCAAATGTGAAAAAACTCCCCTTAAACGTCGAAAGCATTGTCTTAATTGTAACATAATATCTAGCAAAACAATAATTTGAAATGTATTGCTCTGATATGGTGGCAGTTAGTTAGCAGTTGGAAACACAAAATATTCAAACATATGCTTAGAAACTTATCATTATTATAGTGTTATTGTCTAGATTATTAAGCAATTAGTTTTAGAAAAAGAAATTGTATTTAAAAAAAGGAAGATTTCAAGAAAGAATGAATTCAAGAAAATACCTTATGTTTCTTGCTCCTCACTTGATCAGGGGAGGTATAAAGATGATCAAACTCTGGTCTTTCCTGTCCTAACTCCGAGTAGAACCCTGAGCTTGGAGTAGAACAGTTCTCTCCTGTCCCAACCTCTGTGTACTGAGCCCCCTCCCCCCGTTGTACTTCATTGTACTGAACCTGAGGTCGAGTATCTGTAAACCCACCCTGAGAAGATAGTTCCTCGTCCTTCTGCTTTTTCATCTTCTCTCTCCTGTAGTTCCTCTGGATCCTCTGGATCCTCATGATTAGGGAAAACACGATCACGATCAGAATAAAGATGATCCCCAGTAGGATGATGATCACGATCATCTCGAACCCAGGGAAGGGTTCAGTGCTCCTGGGAGCCCTGTCCTCCTGCTCCAACACAACCTCGAGACCAGGATCCTGAGTACAGGTACAGGTTGAGACCTGGAGCTGGGTTCCAGGAGCGCACTCTTGCTCCGAGCATCCACAGGAGCAGGAGCTGTCATCCCAGATCCGTCCTGCGTCCAGGCAGGTTTGCTTCCCCAGGATATCTCGACACTGGCAGGAGCAGAGGTCAGCTCTGAGCTCCTGATCAAGACGGCAGGAGGACTGCTCCAGGGAGCAGGAACAGGAGCAGTCAAGGTGCTCTTCTATCTCCAGAGTAGAACACTCCTTGTCACAGGTTCCAGAGCTGATTCCACACTTGGAGAGGATTACAGGAACCTTTCTCATCCTAGATAGACAGGTAGGTAGATAGATAGATAGATATAAACTTTACCAGTTATAGAGAAAGACACATATACATGTGGTGGGTAGATAATATATGTAGATAGTATTCCGGATGGATAAGATAATAATTGAAATATTGGTTCCAATGCAAGATTGCGAAATCTCCAGAGTGTTTCAACAAACATAATGCATTTCAGTAAAATTTACGCATTTCAAAAACGTAATTTTATAGCGTGTCATGTCATGTCCGATGATAAAAAATACCCGTTGACTGATCAAAAATGAATGTGATATTTATAATTTCTCTAGAAAAAGTAGCTATTTTTGCGTATTTCTTGCAATAAGAAATAAAAGGTAAGAGGGTACCATTTAAATGGAGGGTCAATTGTAATGACTATGAGTATGACATTCCCTCTCATCTTCTTATTTTACTTTACAACCCCTTGCAGAAGAATACATTGATTTTAATATGTTCTTTGACACCCTGTATGATGAATATTTAATGCATGGAGGATGCATTCAAAGAAATATTATTAAAAAAAGAACATGGAGCACTGCCATATTGGTTGCAGAAATCCGGGAATAATATTTCCAAATTCTTGATCCATGGGAGGATTCAAGAAGAGCTGTAGATAAAAGAGATAATTTGAAAACTCTATAGATAGAACATTTTTAAGTGGATGCATGGTAAATATATAGATATACATACACAGCACAGCAAGCAAGCTATTACACATTTTTGTTAAACGGAAATCTTATTAAATCACAAAAAAACACCAATATTTCTTGTTTAAAAAAAATAAGAAGAAGTGAAGAATCAAGGAAAAAAACAAAATGGTTCTTGCTTAAAGCTTGTTTCCTTTTTGATAAATAAACATAACGTAGAAGAGAAACTCGTACCTAGTTTTCCTGGGTGTACAAGAGTGTCCGTACTGTGTACATGAACCATCACACTGCTGCACTGTTACGTATGTGGGAGTCATCTAAACAAATACAAAAATTTAAATATTTTTCAAAGATAAAGGAAGTGAGTTTTTGTCACAAACTCTACTTTTCTAATCTTTATATCTTTGCTACCCTATGTCGTAGACCTTTGATATTTCAAACTATGAATTCTGATAGACCAAATAATCGAACATTGAAATACCAAAGGTTTACATCATCAGGTTGTGAAGATATAGGGATTTGACAATTTGAGTTTGTGACAAAAACTCAATTCCTTTGACGTAAAGTAAACTGATTTTAATGAGGAATGACTCAAAAAATACCAATTATATCAATATATGTTAATCTTAAAATAGCTAAAAGATTAATAAATATTTATTTTATAATCTTAAGATAGTTAAGATTTACATACATTACTGTTTAAATTAAAAGGATTATTCCTATGTGACATTTTATTTTTTTACAATTTATTTACATAGAAAAGTTCCAAATTGCAGAATCGACTAGTTTTTAAGTTCCTATTGGAGAATCTACTAGTTTTTAGGTTCCTACTTAAAGAATTTATTAGTTTTCAAGTTCCTAATTAAAGAATCTACTAGTTTTCAAGTTCCAAATAGTAGAATCTACTAGTTTTGAAATTCCAAATTATAAAATTGACTAGTTTTTAAGATCCTAATTGAAGAATCTACTAGTTTTCAAGTTCGTAATTAAAAAATCTACTGGGTTTTAAGTTCCTATAAATAGTAGAACTGACTAGTTTTGAAGTTCCTAATTGAAGAATTTACTAGTTGTGAAGTTCTAAATTATAGAACTGACTAGTTTTCAAGTTACTCATTATAGACTCGACCAGATTTCAAGTTCCTAATTGTAGAATCTACTAGTTGTGAAGTTCTAAATTGAAGAATCAAATAGTTTTCAAGTTCCTAATTGTAGAATCTACCAGTTTTCAAGTTCCTAACTGAAGAATCTACCAGTTGTCAAGTTCCTAATTGTAGAATCTACTAGTTGTGAAGTTCTAAATTGAAGAATCAAATAGGTTTCAAGTTCTTAATTGAAGAATCTACCAGTTTTCAAGTTCCTAATTGTAGAATCTACCAGTTTTCAAGTTCATAACTGAAGAAACTACCAGTTGTCAAGTTCCTAATTGAAGAATCTACCAGTTTTCAAGTTCCTAACTGAAGAATCTACCAGTTGTCAAGTTCCTAATTGTAGAATCTACTAGTTTTGAAGTTCTAAATTGAAGAATCAAATAGTTTTCAAGTTCCTAATTGTAGAACTAATTGTGAAATATGAAACTAGAATGTATGCTGAATAGAACGGGAATTATTCTGTGTAATACGGTGTATGAAAGGATACCTTATACATATTAATTTCATGAAATTCTCTTCCAAAAATACTTATGTTTATGTTTGTTGGAAGGCTTCATTTATGTTCTAGTTACTCTAAAACACTTTTTTTTTTCTAAATATCTACTTTACGATATTTTCTGATATTTTTGCACATTGTCCTAAAATTCCCAAGTTATAGTATAAACCGTGTTTAATATTAAATTCGTGAAATGCTAAATCTTCTATGGTTTAACATGTGTTTGGGATTTTCATTCAAAAATGAGTAAATAAAACATTTGTAAAATTCGTAATAAAGAGTCCCCAACACGTTTTCATAACATTTGTGTTTGTTTATGTCAAAAGTCTGGGCTGGAACTTTACTTTGGATTAAATAGCTCTGCTCTTTTAGAAAATGTTTCTCTGCTCTAATAATTCAAAATTAATACTTAACGATCTAAAACATTAAAAAATGAGATTTGTAACGAACCTGATCTATCTGGGTTGAATTGGGCCAGGGAAGTCGAAGCAAAGTTGCTCTCGGAGCACACCCTTCTCCTGCACTAAGAGCACTCGATATATGTGCTCCTGTACAGCGGCTCTCTACTCTGTACACGCCTTCTACTGTGTTTGTACATACCTCTCCTGTACACTTCACTGTGTACATTACACTGTACAGCAGCAGGGCTAGTTCTAACCTTTTCATAGTTTATTTCTCTTGAACTTATTTTTCATAAAATTTATAAAATATCTTTCCTTTATAATAGACACTTGACGACTGACCAATTTACGTGTCATGTGATTTACAATCGGTCGGGACGAGTCGAGTCGGGTCTGGAAAAATCCGGGAGAAGGGGGGTTGGACGGCCTGGGGACCAGGGGCGTGATGCGTCCGATTTGTCGGACTGGGTCAATCCTGGACCTCTGTTCGCCGGCTGGTCCGGCCAGGGTCCGGCTGGTTCGACCATAAATCCAAATGTCTTGGCTCCTTGGTTTATAAGACGATTTCCTGGTTTACAATCGTAATTCAATCCGGTGGAAAATCTTTTGTTTGTGTTGAAGCCGCCATTATTAAGTGGTCTACGGCTTAGTTGTTGATCCTATTTATATTCTTTTAATGGAGAGATATTCCAGATTCTTGATCGCTAATGTATCACATTAGTTTCTTAAAGGAAAAGTAAACACTTTCTTAAGGGGGCAGTAAACAAAGTTTGGTTTAAAGTATAAGTTTTAGAGCTGGAATGAAACTTATAAACGCTTATAAAAAGACCCGGTTTCCTTAATTTTTCTATTTTAATTAATTTTTTCATACATATTATTTTACAAGGAAACATATAAAGGAAGAAATCATAAAAAAAGAAAGAAAATTTAAATTATTGTTCTATATCAAACTTTGATTATTTTAAGAAGCAGAATTTATAGTTTGACAAAGGTCTACGACATTGCAGGCTACACAGATGTACAGATTAAAAATTAGAATTCAAGTGCAGTGTTAAGTTTCAATTTCTGTGTGGTAAAAATTCTGTATATTTTTCCTGAATAATACTGACCATAGATGCCAGTAGAAAACATTTTGGACTTAGTTTAGTCTAGATAATTTGTGACAGAGCGCTGCGTCAACCCAAATGTACAGCTAGTGTTCTCGCGATGTCAGAGATAAAAAATAATAAAGATTATGTAAAAGCAACTGTTAATCTTCATGAAATATACCTTTTTTGTTACCGACGCATCGTCTTTGTTTACCATTATTTTTTATAGTTTTGTCAACGACTATAGATAATTTGTGTACAAGTCCTTTAAGGAAAACCAAAACAGAGAATATAAATCTTTTTTTGTTTTTAATCTTTTTAAAATTTCTCATTTGTCAGCGCCTTATTTTCATCACATTTTATAATTAACTTAAAATTCCAATTATTGCGTGGAGCATGTTTTAAAATAATATTTTATATTTTCATAATAAATGATATTTCCCAGAGAGGGACCTATGAAAGGGAATGCAGGGAAGAGGAGGGGGGGGGGGTGAATCCGGATTTAAGGAGGGGGATTTGCTAAATACATTTGAAAATCCGGTGACATTTAATTTCCTGTTATATAGCAGAAAATATAAATAAATTTGACAAACCCAGGGTTAGTTTTGACCAACTTTAGATTTGTTTTCTCTTGTTAACTAGTAAACGTATCTGGTTAGTTGGTAGCTTATTTTTCTGTTTTGTTTTTAGATTAGTAACTTATCTGTCCGTTTAACTGGTTAATCGGTAAGTTATCTATCTGTTTATATTTCTGGTTAGCTGATTATTGGTCGGGTTGTCTGGCTTTCTGGTTATTTGCCTTGGTAGCATGTTTTATCTCTGGTTATCTAACTGGCAATTTTTCTAGTTTACTGGTTATATGTTTGGTTAGCTGTTTTCTGTCTGTCTGACTCTTGTTGGTTGAACGTCTCGAGTTAAGAATAAAATTATGTTCTTCAGATTGTTTTTTGGAAAATCTTCGAGTATGGGAACATCTTCAAAGTTGTTAAAAATGTCCAAAGTGTATTTTTCAAACTATTATTGGTTTGTCATTAAATTGAAAACGGTTTGGATTTTCTTGTACAAAATAGGTTAGAAATAGTTGAATTTGCTGTTTTAACCGCCTTTGTCATCCCCCTGCAGAAAATATCTAAATCATGGTCGAACCTTGTATTTTTCCCAAACAGAGATGGATATTAATGAATGAGCTAGAAATATGTTCAACCTGTTCAACCTGCTCTGTAAGTTAGTTCCTCGAACATCACTTGTCAGATTTCCTAATTGCTTCTTCAGGTTCAAACTCAATTTTTCTAATCTCTATATATTTGCAACCTGATGTTGCAACTTGTAAACCTTTAATATTTCAAACTTATTATTTAATCTATATAATTCATACAGGTATACGACATTGAGCTGAAAGTAATAGAAATTAGAAAATCATAGTTTGTGACAAAGACCTTAATTCCTTTACAAAATTATAAAATAATTGGTGCAAATTTAATCGTAGAAATCGAAACTTTCATCTCATTAAAGATATCTTTCTTAGTAGAATCCTTTTTCATCCATTTTTTCTTTTTTCTGTTCTACCTTTCTTGATTTTATGATCATTTATCATTTATATTTTTTGGCATTTTGTTTCTTTGGCGAAGTACCTTCATGAATAATGATTCAAAATTAATTCTTTAATTTTCGCATGTTTTCCACTTGTTTTGAAGTTTTGGATAGTTATCTATAGATAGATAGATCTTTAGTTAGTCCCTATCTGTGACATGTGGATGATGGGATAATTGACTATATTTTGCAGGAGGAGGATATTTATACAGATCATCATCGTGATTATATAGGTTATACTGGCAGGTTTAGTTCAACAATGTAAACTAGAAGATAGATTTCTGTCTTTAAATTACAATAAATTGTATCAAACTTTATATAGTGTTGATATCTTTCAATCAGAACTTTTAAATTTATAATATATAAATTTGCTTTTCTTATACATAAGAGAAGCTACGAGGTCACAAAGTCCTTTTATCTTCTACTTAACTGTTTATTTCGGTGGACATGTAATAAATATCGGGTAACACGATATTCTGTAAACCTGAGGTACGTTGTACATTATTAACAACCCGTTATTCATTTGAACCGCGCTTTAAATGAATACATAGCATGATGATGACAACAAGGTAGGAATTGTAATTATATCTATTAACTTTAACTTGAAACATATAAACCTCAAATATATTAGTTGATATAGAAACTCCGTATAGTTTACTGTGAGAGAGAATTCGTTCCCTGTTTTGATAAACAGGTTGAGGATCATGCATTTAGTTTTGTTATTGATAGTTACGAGTTAGTGTCAAGAGGACATTGATAGCTTACAAGATCGCTCCCATTGGTAGTGGCATAGATAAGTTACCGGATTGTGGCTGTGTGGATCGTGTCCTGTTTGAGACATTGATAAGTCATGGGATTGTAGCTATGTGGATTGTCTCCTGTTTGAGGTACTGATCAATTAATTGCTAGTGTCTGTTTTGACATCGATAGCTAACGAGATTGCGCCCAGTGGTAGTGGCGTTGATAAGTCATGGGATTGTAGCCATGTGGATCGTCTCCTGTTTGAGGTACTGATCAATTAATTGCTAGTGTCTGTTTGCTAACGAGATTGCGCCCAGTGGTAGTGGCGTTGATAAGTCATGGGATTGTAGCCATGTGGATCGTCTCCTGTTTGAGGTACTGATCAATTAATTGCTAGTGTCTGTTTTGACATTGATAGCTAACGAGATCGCGCCAAGTGGTAGTGGCGTTGATAAGTCACGGGATATTGTAGCCGTGTGGATCGTGTCCTGTTTGAGGCATTGATAGTTCACAGGATTGTAGCCGTGTGTTCACATTGATAGTCAAGAGAATCTGATTTATTCCTGGATAGATACTGGTGAGAGAAACTGTTATGGAGTAGGGTAATTTACTACAGGCATACCCAACACTCGCTATAATTATAATTTAAATCAACATTTGAGACTATTTATATCATTTAGTTATAGTGCACTAGTATAGGGCTTTATTGTTATGAGTATAATTGAACCAACTTCAAATCGAGTTTTTTTTCACAAGAATGTGGATTAAATAAGATTGCATGGTTACAGAACTAAAAACAGAAATTATCCAATTGAAACCTTTTTATATTTTCCAGTGATCCAGCACAATAAGCTAAATATTTGAACTAAATAAGCAGGTGATTTTTCATCTAGTTTCCAGTGATCCATCACAATAAGCTAAATATTTGAACTAAATAAGCAGGTGATTTTTCATCTTTTTATATTTTCCAGTGATCCAACACAATAAGCTAAATATTTGAACTAAACAAGCAGGTGATTTTTCATCTTTTTATATTTTCCAGTGATCCAACACAATAAGCTAAATATTTGAACTAAATAAGCAGGTGATTTTTCATCTATTTTATATTTTCCAGTGATCCAGCACAATAAGCTAAATATTTGAACTAAATAAGCAGGTGATTTTTCATCTATTTTATATTTTTCAGTGATCCAGCACAATAAGCTAAATATTTGAACTAAATAAGCAGGTGATTTTTCATCTAGTTTGAATAAATTGATGATCACTCGACTTAGCGCTAACTCCAGCAAATTCCGCGTGAACAAAGCATAAATATTATACTAGCTTGGGAACCCAACGTTGTCCAGGGTACTCCCGCCGTTTACCCGCACTTGGTCGTAAATTTCAATTTTAGCTATTTTTCCCTATATAAGTCGACTTAGAATCTTAAAACTAAGCTAAGAACATTCCCGTGGTTCCCCCGAGTTATGATCGGACAAACAAACGGACAGACAAACTTAAAAAATATATATATGAATACTGCACAGTGCTTAGTATCTCATCTAAATCATCAAAAAAAAATTTTATTCAAGACACGCTAGCTCAAGCACTATACAGGACTTTGAAATTTAGATATAGCTTAAAACAAACCTGAATTCCTAGTTGGTATATATATAGTTTACATGAATGGAAAGATGTTGAACATTAGGTTTACGATACAGAGAGATAAAGCTGGGACATTTACTATTCAAGAGATATCTACGCGGTTTATCTTTCTTCATATCTATTCAATTATCTATCTATCCATCCATCTACCTATATATGTACTGAATTATCTATCTTTTTAACTTCATACATATATATTTTTTTGTCTATCTGTCTAGCCATCTATATACGTCTCACATCAATTATTGTCAATCAATCAATCTTTCTATGTTTTTAAACATCTATCTGCATTACTGTACAATTACCAACCGTTCTTGTCATCTACATAAATATTTATCTATCTTCATCAATTCAATTAACTATTTGAATAGATATCTATTTAATTACCTACCTGTGATGTCAACTATACATATCATGTATAGATCTGTCTTTATATCTATCTATCTGTCTATTCATATATTTTTCCACCTTTTC